CCCCCCCCCCCTTCTTAACCCGTTTTTTTATTTGTCTACGTTCGAAGGATTGATCCTAACTCGCGCGTAACTTCTCTCGAATATTGCAACAATCGATAATTATTATATAATAATATATAATATATTAATAACAATACGAATAATTATGATTATAATTATTATCGATTAAGCGAGTCGATGAATCATTCTCGTTTTCGTTTTGGTATCACTTTCAACGTAGTATTCTTTTACTCGATTTTCTTACCACCCACCCTTTTCCCACTTTACACCTCCGACCCTTTGATCAAGGGTAGAAAAAACTGAAACGCGACAACAAGAAAACAAAAATATGATAGAGGGAAGAATAAATGATCGGCGAAATGTTAAACATATTCGCAAAATGATCATGAAAGACGATCGAAATAAAAAAATATATATATAAATATGATGATGATGATGAGATGAAAAGAAAAGAAAAGAGAAGATAAAAAGAAAATACTGTGAGAATAATAATAAAAAAAAAGAAAAAAAAAAAGAAAAAAAAGAAAGGGGGTTAATAATAAGATAATTATTGACACCCGTTCATCGCGATACGTCGTCGAAACCCTCTGTGCTAGTCGCGTGCTTTTTTTGTTTAAAAGAACGAAATAATTAAACGTGAATTATAAAAATAACACACGATATATATATATATATATATAATATATATGTATATTTATTTATTATACGAATATAAAAAGAAAATGAAAGAAGTAAAGTGAAAAAAGAAAGAAAAAAAAAAAAACTACAGATAAACAAAACACAAACACACACATATAATTAAAATAATTTCTGATATAAAGATCCGAGCTCCCACATATGAGAAAGAAAGAAAAAGAAATAAGCCCGATTTGTTGTTAACAATCAGGAAGCCAGCCAAACTTCTCCGACGACTTCCAGCATCAAACACACAACAGCATCTCGTTCTTCCTTTCACGATTAGGATAATTATAATCTTTTCTTTTGTTTTTTTTTTTTTTTTTTTTTTTTTTTTTTTTTTTTTTTTTAACATTCGTTCGCTAAATCTCTTCGAGATATATTATCTTCATCTCTTTCTATCCTCCTCTGCTCCTTCGATATGCAACGTGCTTCTTCTGCGTAT